TTGGGGTGCTTAACTTTTTCCTAGGTGTATATATATATATATGTGTGTGTGTGTTACAATTAAAAATTTTTCTATGCAAGCAATTTCTTATTTTAACTAAAACTGTTTCTGAGAAAACCAGAACATGTGATATTGTTAATATTGTAGCCACTTTTCTCCTCGTTGGCCCAATAAGGATTTATGGTGGAATGTTGTATAAATCACAAACTGTTTCACCACAAATGTGTCTCAAATAGGCATTATCGCTCAGATATCTTCTTGGTAGAACACGTAATCTTAGTTTAAATCATATTTACAAAAGTAACATACGAGATATTAAGTTGTGTTGTTTTTAAATTCAAAACTGGCAGATCATTAACTCTTTTCAGTGCACTGACTGCCAAAAATGTATAAAAGGTAAGTGTTTGAAACCTCAATAGGCTTAGTATGATGATTTCTAAATGAGAATGATCCTTGAAGAAATGAAAAAAAAATGTTATGGCGATAATTATGAAACAAAATATTCATTTTTTTATATTAATTGCTATTGCAATACAAATATTGTATACACAAAAGTAAGACGCTTGAAGAGGAAAAATGATAAAGTTTTAGCTTAGAAGGTGGTATAGGACTAAATGTCTAAACGATTTTAGAAAGAACAAAATACAGATATTTCTAGTGATTATTATGTGTCTAAAATTGTCAATTTTTCATTAAACTAACTTGCATAATATAAAAGTTAAATGTCACTAAGTAAGATGTTAAAGTAAATTTATTCTAGGTAGACATTACGTACCGAACCATACTTCGGCTGTAAGGAGTGAGGGTAAATGTTAGAATACATTTTTACTCCTGAAACGTTTCTTAAAAACCCATAAAGATTCGACAACTGCGTTAGAGTTGTTTTTTAAGTAGAAATATTGATAAGCAAGCGCTTACAATCTATTATTTCTTTATTCCTTACCTTCATTACAGTTGGTTGCAATAACATTGTTGGGGCAGAGACACCTCATAGAGAACCACAAATCTTGACACACTCCCATATCTCCACATTCATGGTTAGTGGCACAGCTGCTTTGTAACTTTGGGCATGTTTGAGTAATGTGGTCAGACTTGAGGGGTGATGTCAAGTCAAGTTGACGACCGTTTACGTAAACACTGTGGATGCAGCCTACAAAGTCATCGCTGGACACTTGACCGGGCCTCTCAAGCAAGGGGTCAACTGAAGGAACACCTCCAAGATACATAGTGTGTTTCTTGAAGTTTAAAGTTCTGAAAAAGTGGTTTTACATTAAGAATCCGGGGTTAAATAATTCATTTATTTTCTAAATATATAATATGTATGATTTTATTTAGAGTGACTACTTTTGATATGAGTCATTGATCAACTTTTTGTCATGTTCAATTAAAATTTTCAATCATATACAATTCAATGACAGATTTTCAGACCTCTTCCAATTTGTAAGATTATGGGCAGTACTTTCGAGGTTTTGGTGAAAACATTGTACACCAAAACCGTAATCTTTGGGGGAAATCAGAGTGAATGTAATTCTTTAGAAATATATACTATTATTCTGCTTGTTTGTATGTGCGACCGTTACGCTTTCTGAGCGAGAACCTGCAGCATAAGTATGCGTAATTAGAATGTTTCCCCAAGGAAAACCGCGCATGCGCATGATTCACTCGACGACAAGCAGTCTGCCTGCGGCAGAGAGCTGCAAAGCTCAGTGATTAAATTGCTACAATTGCTGTATGAAACAAGAAGTAACAACAAAAGGGGAATGTAAATATACTTTACTAACCATTTTGTACAACAGAATATTAAAAACTTATCAAAGTTTTTAAAACAGGTTTGACGTTAGGTCGTAGAATAACATTATAAAGTTTATTTGTCGATAGTATTATGTACAGTAAAGTTTAATCCTAACTAAACTAAAGTAAAAAAAAAACTTACAAAGGTTACAGTGTTAATTTTATCTCTTTATCGAACTTATAGTAGTGGATTTACACATTTCGTTGTCTACGATTACAATTCGTTTGTATT